GTGTGTGAGCTGCCCAGCACACCCGGAAGGCCACCGGATGTTAGCGCTAGAAATCTTGCCTGTGCCCTCGCCAAGGCTAGGTCTCACTCACCAATCCCAGCTGCAGACCTGGCAGCTGACTGCGCTGCCTCTGAACAGGGTCCCTAACACCTGCCTGCCCCAGAAACTCTGCTGTTGGCTCTTTACCAGGTCGGGCGGCCTGAAGGACACCCCTCCAGTGCAGTGCCCCCATGTGCTCTCTGACTGGGGGTGAGGCTTCTGCTGAGGACTGGGCTCTGCCTACAGTTAGGCCATCCCCAGGCCTTCCTCACAGGGCTGTTCCACCTGGCCTCCTCTAGGGCAGGTAAGCAGGGGACAAGGCCAGGCTGATGTCCGGGGCAGGGCAGGGCTGCCAGACAGTAAGCTCAGTCTGCACCAGGAGGCTGGACTGGCACCACAGTGTCACCCCAACAAGCTCCTGATGGCCTGACGCTCTGACAAGGGTGGTGACCGCTCCTGTGTCCACTACTGTGACTCTTTCCACACGTCAGACCCGGAACTCAGGGAGACAAGGATAGTTCCTTCCAACACAAAATCTGTAAGAATGTGTGGTTAAGAATTCAGTCAGAACCCATCAGCGCTGGCCAAAGTGGCCTAGAGTTGCCATGGCAATGGGGACTTGAAGGCCTGATGTCATGCTGCTGTCAGTCAAAAGTCAAGAGGTGGACATGGGCAGGACTCTCTGGAACCTTCTTTGGGATCCCCGATAAAACTGGAGTGCAGGAGGGGCATGCATCCCTCTCCTCTCTGAGAGGACCTGCTCTCTCCCTGGAGAGTGTCCCCGCTCCCTTTTCCTACCCCTTTGGTAAACCCATGCCTGTCACTCTGAGTGACATACCTTTGATCTTTCTGACTTGGTCACAAGAATTGCCTCAGTTTCCCAGAAGACCCCAGCCCTGTCATAGCCCCCCAGCAGCGAGGGTGCAGGAACAAGGGCAGGTTCTGGGCTGATCTGCACCAAGGCCCCCGGGCCAGCCTCTGTGTTCCTGCTGTGGCATCTTTAATAATGTCCCTCTGCCTGAGGAGCAGACTTCTCTTTTCAGAGAGGGACCATGAGGTGAAGGAACGCCCTGGCCAGGTCTGTCACCTAGTGACAGGGACAGGAAATCTTGGAACTTCACCAGGCTGCCCTTTCCTAGAAATGGGGAGGGAAGAGGTTCCTTCGCTTGGAAACCAGCTGGGAGAGCAGAGTCCACTGGCACTGCCCAGGCATGCGCTCCTGGTCACTCACGGTGGCTCAGTTGTACCCTCAAAGTCCAGCATGGCCTTCTCAGCTGTTGATAGGCCTCCCAGGCGCCACCCAGCAGAGACAAAGCCCAGCACAGAGCAGGCCTGAGGAACAATGTCAGATTCAGACAAGAGGCTCAAACCAGGCTAAAAAGGAGAAACCCGGGCTGTGGTTGCTACAGAAACAAAGGGACCCTGCATCCCTGATGCAGACCCTGGCTTAGGGCTCCATCTAGTGACCATCATGCAGAGTTGCCGCCATGGCCAGAGGACAGCGGAAGGTTCCAGTGATTCTCCACCTCTGTGGGGCCTTCACCTCCAGCAGAACCTCTGCCATCAGCCCTTCCACCCCATCAGACCTTTCACCTCCATAAGACTCCACCTCCATCACACTCCATCTCCATCAGACCCTTGGCCACCCCAGTGGGTCACAGCCTGAGATCTTGGGCCCCAGGTGGTGTCTGAGGGTCAGGACTTCCAGGGACACAGAACCCAGCAGGAAAAGACCCCCAGCCTCAGGGAGCCTGAGGACCACCTCCACGCCTCAGAGGTACTCTGCACTCTAACATCCACAGAGGGCCTCCTTCCCTTCCCTCGGGCCAGAGGGACAGCAAGGATTCATGACCACAGGGGTGTGCCGTACATCCCACTCCCACCAGAGTCCTGTGTGGGGGAAAAGCTGCCGTTTTAGTCAGTTCTTTCTGTGATCAACAGACCTGACAAGAACAATTTTAGAGGAGGAAGTTTAATGGGGATCATGGTTTCTGAGGTCTCAGTCCAAGATGAGGCAGGATACCAGGGCAGAGGGGGACAGGGACAGGAAATCTTGGTACTTCACCAGGCTGCCCTTCCCTAGAAATGGGAAGGTGGAGGAGGACAGCAGCTCAGGACATGGCACCAGGAAGCAGAGGGAGAACTCCTCACCAGGGACAATATATACACCCCAAGGTTCACCCCCAGGGACCCCACCTGCCTACAGCTACCTCCCAGCTAATCCTATCAGCGATTAATGTGCTGATTAGGTAAGACTCTCACAATGCAATCTTTTCACCTCTAAACTTTCTTGCGTTGTCTCACACGGGAGCTTTTGGGAGACCCTTCATGTGTGAAGCATAACAGCTGCGTAACATCTCTGAGTCCTCAGCCATTAAGGGAGAATGCTCCTACCCAAGGAATCAGCACAGGGTTGAGTATGAAGATACCTGCATGGTCCCCCACGATCTACACTCTGTTATGGGGTGGCCCCAGACCACTCACTCTGGGAGGGCATCATCTGGGGAGTCTCCAAGGCCCTGAAGTTTGGTGTCATGGCGTTTCATTGCACAACCCAGGGTGACGCCTGCATCAGAGACACCCAACCTCCTCCTCCCTCTGTTTCAGCGCTCTCTGGACTGGGTCCCTTGAGCCATGCCAGCAGAGTCTTGAACCGGAGGCTTTAAACTAGACCCAATGCACGAGCTGAGAATATCCCTGCAGCGCCTCTGTGACTCGATGGTCCCAGACCCTCCCGTGTGGAAGCCACCTGAGCCCGTGAGCATTTCCCTGTTCCCCTTCCTCCCACCTGCGGGGGCCTCCCTGGCTTTACTGCACGTCGTGGTCACAGTGGGGTCTCTTCTGCTGGGTGTGAACACTTGGGAGCGAGGACTTCATCTCCTTCTTCTTCTCTTCCCGATGTCAGTGTAAGAACGAGACGTGGTAAGCGTTCCTTGGTTAGCTAGATGGCTGCGTGGGTGGGTGGAGAGAAACACGGATAGACGGGTAGACAAGCAGGTGGAGAAAAGACAAGTAGGTGGGTGAGTGGGTGGTGGATGGTCACAGGAGCAGAGACACCTCTTAATGCTTGGGGATGGGCACATGTGGACAGAACAAAAAGATGGATGGACGGATGGATGGATGGATGGGAAGATAAGTAGGTGGGTGAGTGGTGGGTGGGTGGCCCCAGGATTAGAGACACCTTTTACTGCTCGATGATGGGCACATACGTGGACAGTTGAACAAGATAGATGATGGGGCATGCATGGATGGACAGAAGGATGGGTGATCATTTGATGGATGAGTGGATGGACCAGGTAGGGACACCCCACCGCATCCTGCCCTCGCCTCTCAGCTCCTCCCAGGCTCCCATCAGCTGCTGGTGCAGCGTCTCCCTTCCCCTGTGCTCTCTGAGGGCAGGGCTCAGTCTTGCTCTCACTGTTTTGTCCAGAACACTGAGCTCAGGGCCTGGGACACTGTGACTCTAGTGGCACCCCCTCCTCCTCAAAAAAAGTCTTAACTGGGCCTCTCCAGAAATCTCCACCATGGCTGATTTTAGGACTGTCAGCAAAAGAGTCTCTGCAAAAGAGTCCAATGTAGATAAACTTCTTGTTTCCCTGTTGCTCTATTTTACTTGGTCACTGGCCGGGAAGATACCTGCACTCCAGGTGCTGGACACCCCCTTACTAATTTTCACAAACGTATCCAGTATAGTAGTTTGTACAAATGTGCAAACAAGGCTCTGGCCTTGAGCTGGGCTTCACAGAGATGTCAACATTTCTAAGATAAGTTACATCTGGGCTCCATGGTAACAGCTGGCAGGGGAGGAAAGAGAGGGGAGAAGAAGCTCTTCCCTTCTCAGGTGGGTCCTTGAAGGGTTAACGTGCCCAGAACAGTGAAAGAAAAAGCTGCTTTTATGTGAACTTCTGCAGACTGTGAACTTCTGAGCCCCTCCCCTTACACGCTGGGTATAAAACTCTGAAACTCCCTGAACTCGGGGTTCAGGGGATTAATTGATTACAGCAAAAGCTGTGCCCTCTGAACCTGGCTGCAGCCAAATAAAACTGTCTCCTGCTGTCTTTGGTGCCCTGTCTGTCTGTCCCTGCAACATAACTGCTCAGGAAGAACTTGTCAGAGACTTGGGTGTGGGAAGTAAGAAGAGGGGAGATGGAGTTTTCACTATTACAGAAAACACAAACAAATGGAAGTAGCCTGTTTATTAAAATTGAGTAAAAACTGAAGATAAAGGATGGGGTTTTAAAATAATATGCCAACTACTTTATCTGAAATCCAGCCAGTCACCGAGCTCAATACCTGGGCTTCCTCGCTCTTTCCCAAGAAAAGCAAATGGCAGGGACTGTGGTCATGCCAGAACCTGCCAGAACCAGAGGTGTGCTCCTGGTCTGCCAGGAGCCGGCCATCAGAGCACACCCAGTGAGCTGAGATGGAGAGGCCAGCACACCGTCACTCAGGTCTCGGCGTCGAGGCAATGTATCCTGCTTGCTCAAACGGTCATCCACTCCCGTCAGTTACTGACTGTTCCTCTTATTCTGAGAATACCCAATAAATCCAAAGGCTCCTTTCCCAAATATTGTGTAGGAGTGAGAGTTGATTATAGTCGACAAAATTACTGTCAAGAATTGAAATGAATTCTAAGTTCATGGAAGGAAAACACGGAACTTCTAGATGTTAGCCTTCCAGCCAATTCTACTTTGTTTCAAATAAGGGGGAAAGCAGTGTCTCTTAGCAGAGGGTAGAGGGGAAAACCTAGACGAATATACTTACATTCTGGACCCATTTCCTTCTTTATGCATCTTATACCCTAAGTGCACACCTATCTACCCCTTCTCTGCCTCCTCCTAGTGTAACAGGCACACCTCCCCCTCCCCCAGGGTGGATTACATGAGAACATGGCTAGGAGCACGTTGGAAACATAAAACAGTGGTGTGTGTACGTGTGTGTATGTAACAACATTTTTACTCACTAGGACAATTTTCATTTTAATAGAGTACCTTCTGTGTTACTGTTTTGTAAATAAAAATGACCTGCTAAGAAGGCGGAAGAAATGTTAGAGTGTGTATACAGCTATTAAAAATAGCATGAGCAATGCATTTAAAGGATGGAGCTATTTGTAAAAGAGCTTCGCCAGGACTGTCAAGTGTCTGTGAAATGTGAAGAGCCGTGTGATTGACAGCATGCTGGCCACTGGCTTCAGTGAGCCAGGGTCACTTGGAGCAGCTTGGACAGTGAGGGGCCAGGAGGGCTAGGGATGTGCAGGTGGCTTGGGCAATGGAGGGGTGGTGTCTGGGCGGGGCTTGAGGGCCGGGGCTCTCCCAGTGCTCTGCCCACATCTCCAGCAGGACAGCCTCCTGAGGGCGGAAAGGCCGGCCGTCATCACGTCGGGGCTCGTCCTAACGCTGGCACAGAGCACCCCACGGAGTACACGCCTGCTAATGCTTGACTCACGGTGACCTGCGTGGGGAAGGAGGACACTGGTCAGCTTGCATGCAGGGAAGGAGTTCACAGGGGCCCCGGAGTCGGCAGGCTCCACACCACCGCAGGTGAAATATTCTTTTGAAAATGTCCAAGCTGTTGAGATGGTTATTCCCTAAAGAACTCAGTGAACCCCTCTGCCCAGCTCACTACTGCATTGTAGGTGCCCTCAGGCGGCCCCAGCACGAGGCCGGGGTGCGCAGGCTGCTTGCTGATGCTGTGCTCTGTGGAGCTGTGTCCAGATCCTGCCCAGGAGGTCCATGTGACAGACCAGAAAGGCATCCTCTCCTCAACGCTCTGAATGTTCAAGTCACCAGTGTCCCACAGCAGGGGTCACACAGTGACCCATCCCTGCACAAAGCCTGGTCGCTGTGAGAACAAGTTTCCAGGGACATCACTGAGAACAGTTCCTGGTGGGCCTGGGGTGCGCCCGACCCACCCTGGGGAAGGCCCTGGGCTGTTTCCCTTCCAATGCTCAAACTCCCGGTGTGACTGGACTCACCCCACTCCTTTACAGAGGAGGAAAATGAGGCACAGAGAGGCTTGGGAGCTTGCCCCAGGCAGCCCAGCAGGGGAATGGCAGCACTGGGATTTGGGGCTGGCGCCTGGGGCTGCTCTCACCACCCAGCATGGAGCTGCCTCTGGACTCTTGGGGGCAGTGATGTGCCATCAGTCCAGCCCATCGTTGATGTCATAGTCCATGTCCTCTCCCTGGCCACTGAGGGTCGCTTTTCCAGGAGGAGAGGGTGTGTCTCCTCAGGGAGCCCCAAATGGGACCTGCACAGACCTGCCCACTGCCAGGCCTACGTGGTCGTCACCAGGGTGAGGGGGGCAGGACCCGGCCGTGGGTGCCTTGCTCCACACCCACCTGCAGGCCGGCGGGCCTCCTATTCGGAGAACACCTGGTAGCTGAAGTTGTCCGCCTGGGTGCTAAAGTTGTATTTTCCAGTCAATTTCTGGTAGCGCATGATCAGAAAGGCTGCGGCCCCCGCCACCATGACCAGGCAGGCCACCGCGATGAGAACCACGTGGCCGGTCCCCAGGCCTGGCTTTGCACCTGGAGAGGCACCTGTGGGGTGAGACAGGCACGGGTGAGAGACCGCCAGGTCCGGAGGAGGCTCCTGTGGCCCAGCACTGAGCACTGCTGGGAGGTGAAGGTGTGTCCAGCGTGACCCGAACAGCAAGTGCAGCCCGTGTCTGCCACTTCTCAAAGCATGACCTGGCAGAGGTGAGGCCTGCGGGTGCCATGAGCTGCCACACACGACCAGGCGGGTCCAAAGCCTGTGAGTACAGTGAGCACAGCCCAGCTTCCTGGACATGCCCTGGCTGAGAGGCGGAGCTGGCCGGCCTGCGCTGGGCCTGCCTGGATCCAGGCCAGAGGAGAGGTGCAGCCTCTCACACACCTGCCTCCTCCAGGAGGGGAGAACACACACTCAGGGTGCTCAGACGCCCAAGTCTGCAGTGGCACCAGTCACAGTAGCCACTAAGCAGAAAGAGCCCTCGTGTCTCTCAGCACACGAATGGTGGGCCAGGGTGGTCCATGCCCACAGGGAACACAGCATGGAGAGGGGAGGCTGACTCGCGGCAGCAGAGATGAAGTGGAACATGTCACACGAGTGACGGCCAGGGCCACACGTCACACTGCCCGTCCACAGGAACTCTCTGGAACAGGCCAGACCACAGGCAGAAAGCCAGGGCCCTGAGCAAGAGAGCAGAGAGACAGCTGGTGGCAAGGAGTTGGCCTCAGGGTGGAGCTGGGTGGAAACCCAGGAGGAGGTGGCTATACTGCGTGGTCAAGGCACCACATGCCACCGCACTGTGACATCAGTGCCACTGATGGGTGCTCTGTGGACTTTGCCACGCTGCCTGAGAAAGATGCCAGCTTCTGCCAGCCCTCAGCCACTCCAGCTCCCCAGGGACAGACCTGACCACCCGCCACGAGGTGGCCCAGCCACTCCAGCTCCCCAGGGACAGACCTGACCACCCGCCATGAGGTGGCCCAGCCACTCCAGCTCCCCAGGGACAGACCTGACCACCCGCCACGAGGTGGCCCAGCCTGTGGGCACGCCATGAGTCAGAGGTGCCCAGAGCAGGGTCACAGCCGCGGCCACATTCCCCCCACCCTGCCGGGTGCCCCCGCAGCACAGCTGGACGGCGTGGCTGGGGACGAGCCCTCTGGGAGACCAGGGGCTCACCATCCCATCTCCCACCAGTGGTGATCTCAGGGCCGTTGCCCAAAGTGGTTGCTGCTCTGGGGCCCCCACTGCACAGGGGGGGGTGTTGCTGTCGGCAGAGCTGTCCCGCTGAGCTGCTAGGGCTCCCTCTGGGGTCCCCGGACAGTGAGCCAGCTGCAAATGACAGCCACACCCCCAGGAACAGGAACACTCTGGGACCTCCTGCCCCCGCCTCGGCCCTGAGCTCCCTAGGACCCCAGGCTCCCAGGCCCTGGCCAGCCGTTTCCCTGGACAACTGCAGAGCTGGCCCTACATCCAGACGCCAGGGGCACCAAAGTGGGCGCCTCCTTCCTCTTGGGCCAGGAGTGAGGGCTCCTCTTGCTGGTACAAGGGGGCCACATGCACCAAGGATGCTGGAGACCGGGACAGAAGGAGATGGGTACTGCAAAGCTGTGGGGCCAGAGCCAGCCTAGAGTGTCCGCCCAACAGTAGCCCCTGCTCCACTCCACGCCCCAGCTGGGTTTCTGTTGCCTGCACCCAAATATTCCTGACTGACCCGCTGAGTCAGGCTGCTCAGAGTGGGGGCCTCCGGCCAGGCTGCCCCTGGTGACACAGCCCAGGAAGAAGGGCTCTGGGTCCATGCAGGGTACGTTAGAAGGGGAGAGCAAGCCCTTAGGAATGTCTATCCCAATCCGACACAGGCTTCGGCAGTGCGTCCTGTCCTCAGCTCTTCAGCAGCACGTGGGTCATGCAGGCGGAGCGTGTGTCAGTGCAGGGTGCATGAGGAACTCAAGTAACTGCAAAGACACTGAACTACTAGGGCTTTTGTAAAGGGGACAGAGAGGGAAAGTGTCAAAGTCCCTCCTATCACCTTCCCGAGCAGGCCCAGGAGGGACAGGCCTCTCCCAGGGCTCAGAGTCCTCCTCAGTCTGGGGAGGCCCAGCCTCCTCACTTCTGAGCAGCCTCTGTAATTGTTCCAGATCCTCCCACTGGGCTGTGTATGCATGCTGTGACCATCAGCCTCCTACTCTGTCCACCACCTCTAGTGAGTGTGAAACAGGTCGGCCATCTACTAAAGCAAAGGCCATCACGATTTCCAAAAATTCTGATGGTGAGGGATTATTTGTGGGTAGCACACACCTAGGGAAGGACAGAATGGATTCTTCCTTACACGGTCACTACCCTGTGGCATGTGCTGAACTGTACCACCACAAGACACCTCTGAGTCCCAGTGCCGCAGGGTGAGCTGGTCTGCAGGTCAGATGGGACCAGGGAAGGTGAGGACACTGGGATTGGCGGCAGAGCCCCATCCTGGGAGCGTTCTGCTGAGAGGATGGCCACGTGGAGACAGAGGCACAGGGAGAAGGACACGGGAAGACAAAGGCCAGCCAAGGAACGGGCAGCAGCTGCGTCTCTGCCGGTCTCAGGGCAGCCCTGCTGGCGCTGTGGCTCCAGACCTCTGGCCCGGCACTGAGAGAGGATTTCGGTTGTTTTAAGGCCCCCATACCCGGGAGTGGAGATTGTTCCAGCAACCCAGGACACAAGAAGGGCCAGAGTGGAGCGGACCTGCTAAGGAGCCAGCCCAGCTCCTAGGGAGCAGAGAGCAGCAGTGGCCCAAGAGGTGCAGCAGAGGGCAGCCCATCCAGGCAGCAGCGGTGCAAGCTCACACAGCCCCCATCCAGCAGTGGAGGTGATGGTGAAGGCAGAGACGGAGGAAGGTTCCGGAAGCCGTCTGGCCTCTGGGCTCTCTTCACCGCTGCAGGCCCCCATGGTGCTGCCGCTACATGCACTGTTGCTGGGTGGCAAAGTCCCCACTGCTGCGGGATTCTGCTTAAATTATTTTCTGTATGTCCTGTGGCAGTTATTAACCAAAAGGAAGCTAAGACTGCAAAGAGCAAGAACAATGAGCAAAATGGACCGTCCGAGACCTCGTCTTTGAGCTGACCTGTTACACTCTGTGCTGGATGTGCCAGTGCCCTGCTTCCCAGTTATGAATGGCGACAGCTACCGCTGTCCAGCAACTTAGACGGCCAGTCTCGGTGTGAAGTGGGAGTTGTTATTATTCCCAGTGCACAGGTGAGGAAAATGGGGCTCAGCATGCCCATCACCAAGGGCCAAAGTCAGGAAGTCCACAAATCAGCCTCACACAAAGGTTTGCTTCCCCTACAGCCCCATGGGACACCCACAACGTCCTGATGAAGCAGGACAGTTCACTACAACGTCCATCTTACAAAGGAAAAGCAGAGGGCCTGCACATAGTAGATGGATGAAATAGTAAATGTGTGGATGGATGGATGAGTGGATGGATGGACGGATGAGTGGATGGATGAGTGGGTGGATGAGTGGATGGATGGATGAGTGGTTGGATGAGTGGATGGGTGAGTGGATGGATGGATAGATGGATGAATGAGTGGATGGATGAGTGGATGGATGAGTGGATGGGTGAGTGGATGGGTGAGTGGATGGATGAGTGGATAGATGAGTGGATGGG